CAGAGATCAGTGAGACCAGAGGGCTCAGGGTCTTCAGCTGTGCCAGGGGAGGTTTAGGTTGGATATCAGGAAGAATTTCTTTCCAGAGAGGGTGCTCAGCCATTGGAATGGGCTGCCCAGGGAAGTGGTGGATTCTCCGTCCCTGGAGGTGTTTAAGGCCAGACTGGATGTGGCATCAGTGCCATGGGCTGGGAACCACGGCAGTAGCAGAGCAAAGGTTGTACTGGATGACCTCAGAGGTCCCTTCCAACCCGGCTGATTCTGTGATTTGCAAATGAAGCAAAAAAATTGAAAGGCAGGAGTTGAAGTTTAACTTGAGGTTTAAATGCAAGTGGAATGTCGGGAGAACGAGATGAAATCACGTCTTAACAAGGGCCATGAACTGGGAACACCCCAGAGCTGCTCAGGCAAACACTGAAGTTATTTATGAGTAAACTGGGAACAGATTTTCTTGCTTCAAAAAAAAAATAATGTTCACATGTAGGGAAGCTCTGCAGAAGGAGAGTGAGTTTTTACATGGGCAGGGAGGGATAGGATAAAGGGGAACAGTTTTAAACTAAAAGGGATTTAGGTTGGATATTGGGAAGGAATTCCTGGCTGGGAGGGTGGGGAGGGGCTGGAATGAATTTCCCAGAGAAGCTGTGGCTGCCCCTGGATCCCTGGAAGTGTCCAAGGCCGGGCTGGAGCAACCTGGGCTAGTGGAAGGTGTCAGGGTTGGAACTGGATGGGCTTTAAAGTCCCTTCCCACCCAATGGTGAGGATGAACAGAAGCTTTTGGGACTGGATCCCTCTGCTCTGGAGCCAGGCTGGGAGAGCTGGGAATGTTCCCCTGGAGAAGAGAAGGCTCCAGGGAGAGCTGAGAGCCCCTTGCAGGGCCTAAAGGGGCTCCAGGAGAGCTGGAGAGGGACTGGGGACAAGGGATGGAGGGACAGGACACAGGGAATGGCTTCCCACTGCCAGAGGGCAGGGAGAGATGGAAGATTGGGAAGGAATTTGTGGTTGGGAGAGTGGAGAGGGGCTGGAATGGAATTCCCAGAGAAGCTGTGGCTGCCCCTGGATCCCTGGAAGTGTCCAAGGGCAGGTTGGAGCAACCTGGGATAGTGGAAGTTGTCCCTGGGTGGACCTTGATGACCTTTAAGGTCCCTTCCAATCAAACCATTCCGTGATTCCATGATTTGTTACCCACTGAGGAATGTTCTAGACCAGCTCACTCCCACGCTTCCACGACCAATCCCATCTTTTCCGTGCCTGTTCCCAGCAGTTCACGCTCCCTTTGGCCGCGCGGGGAAGGCGGAAAACCGACACCTCCCAGTTCCCCCATCGGGATCGACGATCCCGGCGCAAATTCCAGTCATCAGCCCCCCCAAAACTCACCTCTGCAGCAGCACCAGGATACTGGGAAGCAGATTCTCATTCTGGGCCCCAAACTTTGCCAGGGCGCTGACGGCAGCTGGAGAGGGAACAGGGAAGAGAACAGGGAATGCCAGGGGGGGTTTAGGTCACACACACACAAACCCTCACAGGCAAAGCTCGCAAAATTCCCGATTCCCAGCTTCCCACCCCACCCCATAAAACCTTTTGGAGTTGAGGGAAAGATTAAATGGTTCCCGTGTTTTCAGTTCTGTGTCAGGGAATGGGATAAATCCGGGGGTTTTCCCACACAAGGAGCTGAAACCCCTCAGCAACCACGAGTCTGTAAAATACTTCTAGGCTGTAAAATATTCTTTAAAATACTTCTAGGCTGTAAAATATTCTTTAAAATACTTCTAGGCTGTAAAATATTCTTTAAAATACTTCTACTCTGTACAATATTCTTTAAAATACTTCTAGCCTGTAAAATATCCTGTAAAATATATTCTTTAAAATACTTCTAGCTTATAAAATATTCTGTAAAATATTCTTTAAAATACTTCTAGCCTGTAAAATATTCCATAAAATATTCTGTAAAATACTTCTAGCCTGTAAAATATTCTCTAAATATTCTTTTCGACTCTGAAATATTCTGTAAAATACATTCTGTTAAATACTTCTAGTCTGTAAAATATCCTGTAAAATATTCTTTAAAATACTT